AAGACCTTTCAAATACTTGAAGTTCATGCATGACTGATGTGTAATTTGAGCAAAGAATAATAAACATTCAAGAAATAATAAGTGTCAGGGCTTTTGCTCCTTAGGCCTAAAAACAACTGTAGCCGACATCGACTCATCAGACATTAACCTCCCGTCCTGATAGACTGCATGAATGAAAATCTCCAGTACAAACTTCTTCCTTTCAGTTTGCAAAATGCTGCACTGAAGAGACTCATTCTGTTAAACATGCAGATGAAACATAACTTATTCTAACCAGTGGAGGTCACTGTGGACATACCCTGGAGACAAAGTAGGGAGCATAGAAAGTTTCTGTTGGGCTTCAACAACAGAACAACAACATCTGTTATTAACTGTGTGCATTCAATTTAAGTTTTTGTTTTTTAAAGCATCTTTGACCTTTTTTGTAGTCACAGCGAGCAAAGGGGGAGCAGGACAGGTACCGCCGAGGGGTTATGTTAAGCCAAAGGGGTCCTTTGGGGGATGAAGGGCTGTTTGTAAGAAGACAGTAATGTGTAGGTGCTGTTCAACACATGTCGGAGCGTGGTGTTTCATGCCGTAGCTCTGGGCCTGACTGATCAAAGCTGCACCACTCAACGCCACCAGACTCTGAGGCTGAAGCATCCCTCACACTCCTAATTAACTCAATGTTTTCCTGTTGTCCCCCTGTGAAGTTTCCATGAAAAGAACAACCACCAAGTTAGAGCCTTTCAAACTGCAATAGATTATCCAATGTGTCGGGAAACGAAACCCAGCCGCAAGAACTGCTTTCTGAGTCTGTGGAACCACTTCCTTCCAGAGACATCCCCATTGGATGAGAATGAGATCAAAGAGTGTGGAATGCATAGAAGAATACTCTGAAGGTTTTAACTGAATGGCGGTAGATGTTTTGCGCGATCAGCAGAAATTATCCTGGGATGGTTGTTAAATATAAACTTTAGTATTAGTGCAGGTTAATTTTGCTTAGACCTTTAGTGGTGGTGTGTCTTGGTGCCGTTTAAACAGATATGGATAAGCAACCGAGGTGCTGTGACCCACACCGTCACAGTTTATGTTCATACTAGTGGGCTTTGGTGCTAGTTTGCTCGTTCCCAGGCATCACTGCAATCACCTGGCTTATCTTTCACTGCAAGTATGAAACACTTTGCAAACACCAACATGGTGCTACCCTCCTTTACAAAACACAAAAATATCTCAGAAAAAAATAAATGGTGATCAGCAACGTGCTCACTCAAGGTTTCCATGAAAGGCAGCAAATATTTTATTATCCATGGGTGCAACATTTATTGGTTAAGTAAAAATCTGTGGCATCTGGATCTGTAAAGGGAGCAGTCGCCACAACCCAATATCTTGTCCAAGAATTGCTTCAGCTTGAAGTCCAAAACAGACCCTAAAAGCAAATCTCTATAAAATTCCCATTCATAACGCCAAGTCTACTTGTGAATGAGATTATAATGTAAAGTTTCTCCTCGCCCAGTTCTACGAGGAAGCCAAAAATGAACGTGAGATAATGTTCAAATTAAAGCTCCAAAATACATCAACTCATAATTGTTTTTGCAAAATCATTGCAATTTACAAAAATAATTTTGGTCGCGATTCAGCTGCTCATTTACACGTGTCCAGTGATCGGAGACTCTGAAACCAACACTTTTTGAAACTAGGTCTCAGAGTGAAACTTTTCGAGAACACTCCCATGGAGGTGTGAAGTACTCCACAGATGTGAACGTGCACATGTGCAGAAGGTTTGGTCTATGCAGGCATGGGCAGATAACAAAAGTAGAACAACTACGTGTTCTACTTTACCAATTTAAATACAACTTATAAGTTGGAACACATAAACAGCTCTGGAAAAAAAAAAATAAGAGACCACTTAAAATGTTCTCTTATTTTACTTTCCATAGGTATAGGTTTAAATAAAATGAACATTGTTCTTTTATTTCATGAACTGCTGACAACATTTCTCCAAAATTTCAAGCAAAAACTTTGTATTTATTTGCAAAAAATGAGAAATAGTCAAATTAACGAAAAAAGATGCAGCGCTTTCAGAGCTCAATTAATGCAAAGAAAACAAGTTCATATTCATTTAGAACCAACAGCACTAATATTATAACTCAGGAAGAGTTCAGAGATCAATATTTGGTGGAATCACCATGAGCTTCAGTGCAGTGGGCTCTTAATTTTTTCAAGAGCTTTATGTTACATGAGCACTTGGTTCATCTGAGACGTAAATGGGTTACCATTGGGTTTCTATTGCTCTGGCATGACAGCTACGGCGAATTCAAGGTGTCTTGGCGGTCTTGTCTAAATGTGGAACTTTTCCCCAAACGGCATCCGAAAATCCCGGCAGTTTCCAGACGGCGGTCTCGTCTAAACGTAGCCTAAATGTAGTATTTCAAGTTGCTTCTCCGACTCCACAGGAAAACAGCATTAGCACACATGTCGATTTTGTCACCAACCTGAGACATTTCCTCCAGCAAGCGTTTATTAACTACAGGTGTGAGCTCTTCCCTCTAAAGGGTTTCACAGGCACCTGTGAGGATAGTGCAGGAGAGCCAGACCCTGCCCCCAACATCCTTCAACTAGAGACCCTCGAACCTATCCTGTCTGCCCATTTTTTCCTCTCATCCATGCCTTCTAGCACTCCAAGAGCAATATGCTTTTAATGAGTCTCCTCTTCTGTGTCCACAGGGTCCCGTTCACCTTCACAAATCATGCCTCTTCTCTAAATCTCCCCCTCCTTACTTCCCTCTACCCATTATTTTGTGGATTCAACAATGATTGCCAATTTAAAAGCTAACTCAGCAGAATTACCTTAAAAATATAAACTATAGTAAAATGTGTTTTGCTTACATTCTTCAAATGCAAGTTAAATTTTAACAAAATTTAACAAATACTCATACAAACAGGTTTGTATGAGTATAAAACCACACTATCAGCTTCCCATCTGCTGGTCTTTACACTAAGCAGATCAAAGCTGCAGCCTCTCTAAACAATAGCTACATAGCCCACAGATGAGTGCCACATGTGAGTGGGGGCCACATTGACCACTTAAAGGATTTCTCTCCTCTTTGCCAAGTCTCCAGAAGACAAAGATTCAGGTTGGAACAAGTTCAGCTACAAAAGAAAAAAAAAAAAAAAAGGTATTCATGGCTTTGAAGCCCTCTACAGCTGGTGACAATGTTCTCAACATGTCAAAAAAAAAAGTCCAAGAGGAGTTCGATCCAGAGTAAATAGACGCCTATTACCATCCGCTGAGTGCACACTGTGTTGCACCTTTTCTTTGAATCGCGGTAGTCAAATAAAAAGAGGAAGTGACGCAACGGTTTTCTGCAAGCAGATTAACCGCACATTAATCAATGAAGAATATTTTGGCTGTCAAGATATGAGTGATTAATGTAGCTATGATAAAATATTTAACACATTCAAAGTTAATGAAACTTAACCATATCTTAATATAAAAACATCACCTCCAACACTGAAGATTGTGTCAGGGTAAGAAAATAGAGAGTATTTAAGGATAATTTATATTCTGCACCTAATCAGAATAATGTTGCTTTAGAAGCTCCAGAGGTGACTACAGGCAACTTGAAAAGCTTTTCTGTTACAAAGACTCTTCTTGCACCTTTATCAATCTCTCTTTTAGAGAAAACACAAAGAACACAACAAAGAAAGACAAACCTTAACACATTTCTATACCCTTTTGTATAGAAATGAGAGTAAAAGATCTGTAAAATTGAAAAGTACTGACACGTTCGTATGGCTGACCAAAAATAGAAAATGTAACGTTAACGACTGAGTTGAAATTAAGAACTGGAGAAACTGTACAAATTACAGATGCCGTCATTTGATCCCTCAAGGTCTGAATCAAGACATTTTAACATTGTGAATAACAGAGTCTGTGAAAAAACTCCACTCCTGATACGGGCTGTTGATGTACAGTTGATGATGTACTGTTGATACTAGTCAGTATCAGCAGTATCAGGCTGTTGTTACTCATCAGAAGGCTGATACTGACTGTTGAGATTTTATGTGAGCTGCATGTCAGTGCCTAATATAGGCCATGCAACTTATAAAATTTTATCTAATGAGTCAGGATTTTTTTTAGCAAAGTGTTTTACACTAAAGATCAGGCAATCAACCAACCAGAGGTCGGAACTGCCAGATTTGCCATCGGTGGGCTTTGACTGCTTTGTCCAGTTTATGAAATACATCAAAATTAAGGAGTTGGGAACAGCAGATGCCAGACAAATAGATAAAATCCACAAGTATTTCAGACCATTGTAAAAACAATAAATCTATAACTGCCTATTTCAATCGCTAAAACATAAAATATACCTTAATAGGCATTAATATGCACAGTGGAAACCACCTTGTTATTGCAGATAAAGTTAAAATCAACACTATTCTTTATTTCTGCTTTTGGGGGAACAGCCAATCAGAGGCAGGAAAAATCAATAGTGCTCCTGAATTAGCTGCTTTGCAAACAGCAGTCAACAGCATGTCAAGGAGAATTGCTCCTAGGTATTTAAAAAAAAATTACAAATAGGCAAATTTCCCACAAATAATTTGGAATTACATAGTTCAGGAAAATCTGCAAAGCCAGCATATAATTATTAAAACCTCCCCAAAATCAACCCAGATATTTACAATTAATTTTTTCTTCAACACACAATGGGATTGTGTGTCTTACTATACAAGATGGATGATATTTTTATTCTTACTGTACAAGATGGATGATATTTTATAAGTCAATATCTCTTAATAACAGCCGTTGATGCCACAAATATTGCCACAACATCAAAGTAATTATCATGCAGCTTAAAATATGAAACTCGTATTTTAAATGTACCACAAAATTAGTAAGTACTACAAATAATAAAATAGAGAGCTTCAAAAATGGAAAATTCTGAAATCGTTTCAGAAGCAGCAGAGGAGAAGTAAGGACCAGCTCATTAAAAAAAATAAAATAAAATAAAAAATACCTGGAGATCTCTTGTTTTGGCGTAAGGGCATCATGTAGGACTGTCGTGGAAGAAGAGGTGAGGAAGGAAGAGACATTGATACTCCCTTGGCAAATCCTAACTTCAGTGCATCATCTTGCACATAAAGGTGGCTGCTGCCAGGCCCCTGAGGCAGGGGGTTTCCTTCAGGTGGGAATCTTCTTTGTGCACCATGACTGTTGACATCACCTGTTGAGGAGAACAATAGTTACCTTATGCCAAAAACAAAGCAATGAGATCAAAAGAAAAGTTGGGATCAACTACATTTTGATTTAAGTACCGATCTTAACACATCCACAAAGAAGCAAATCTGTTCCAGCTTACTGTGGTTGTGCTTTCAACCCCATTAAACACAACAAAACAGAAACACCGAAGGAGAAAAGGAACACGCCTAACACACCTGCACACAGATTATGATGATAATCTGCAAATACTGAGGAAGCAGAGAGCCTAAAAAACTCCACAAATCTATGAATTCTGACAGTACAGACAAGTCTCTCTTTAGTTAGTTTAAATCTGATGAATGAGTGGCTAATATCTGCATTCTCAAAACCATTTCCCACGTTTCTTTTATGCAGCCCCTGTAAGATTCATGTAGACTGTATAAGCACCCAGGATCTTTAAACTCCATGAAGTGGCACAACTATGAAGAAAAGCAACAATGTTTCTTTCTTAGACTGATATTTAATAAATGATTTCTATATCCATGCCAACTTAATAAGGAGGAGGGAATTGCACCGACTAAAAATCAACTTTAACCTCCCACAACCCTTTAGAAAAATTGGAAAACAATCAGGGTTTAGAAATATAAACATCCCACACCACTCCATAATAATAATATGCTAAGTCAAACAAAAGATCTCCAAAATATACAAAGTCTTCAGGATTATGATTTGCTTTTAATGCCTTGTAGTGAAAAAGCAATCCGATGACTTGTGTTTCCGTTGTGCAAGTGAACTTTCACGTTTTCCATCTTCAAAGTTCTCATCGGTTTGGTTCGGACATTCTACTGGTGCTTGTTGCATCTTCAAGGCCCCCTCCCCCCTAAACCATTCTCCAGATCAAGAATCCCCTGTATGTAAACAGGTTAGACTTGGAATGAAGGGAAACATGTTTTTCTAATTACTGCTCTCACCTGTGGAACAACCTTCCAGAGGGCCCGAGACCAAGTAAAACCAATTGTACGTTCAAAAGCAAACTTAAGGCAAAGTCTTTTGCTTTTGGAATCAAGCTTTTTTTCTCCAGATTTCATATAATTTATGTTATTGATCTTTAATAAATCAAAAACTTAAAAAAAAGTATTTTTGCATTTAGTTTGACTAAATGTAAAAAATACTCTAGTGTTTCATCACTTAAATGAATATATTCCCCATTCATTAAAAATAAACATATTTATTAGCAATTTAGTCATCATTGTTTATTTTTTTATCTTGTGTAAAACACTTTGAGTGTCCATCACTGTGCATAAAAGGTGATGTATCAATAAAGATTATCAGGCTCTTTGAACGTTTTGTCAAAAACAACAGGAAAGTATAAAATTGACATTTTTTTTCATATTAGAACAATTCACAATACTTCTGACTTTTTTGTATTATTCATGTTTGGTATGTTCCATAATAAGAAAATAAGGAAGAGATATTTTTCCTTTATTTTATCTGAGAATGCTGTCCTCTGCAGTGCATAGGGAGTACAAACATGTTCATTTTTCCAGATGCAAGATCTCAAGTGGGTGACTTCTTTCCTGCATGTTACCCATTAAAAAATGGATTCTTATTCTTGAGGGCTGGTGATGAAATATCTGCCCCCGTTTTTCTCTTGGCACCATCTGATTGGTTTTTTCCTCCGAGTTATGAAGCAAACATATTGTGCACACTTTTTTCCATCAGTTCTGGTTTTTCAAAAGAAGACGCTTCAGAGTAATTGATAGCCGTTTAAAAGCCCTTTGCTTCTGAGAAAATACTGTTTGTTTAGCAGCTCGACAGATGGACACACAGGAGTCTTAAAAAATGTGATGGGCCATTGCAAATTGTTTGTAAAATAATTTACCTCCATACACTTAACCCAACTGTACCTTGAACCTTTATTGTTGCTACTATTACACCTCAATTTCCCTTTTGCGAGACAATAAAAGGTCTTTCTGTTCTGTTCAGAAATCATTATTGAGGTCAGCCAAAAAAAAAAAAGATTAATTTTTAAGAGTAAAGTCTTGCATTTCTGAAACTAGTTGCACCTCAGCCTGAAAGATAACTAAATACCATGCCTTCCAGCCATTCCAGTAACAGAGTTGTGAGCCAATATTGGAATGTTGTAACAAGACACTGAGGTTAGCTGAGGCTGATGATTTTGGCAAATACTTTAAAAGAGTGAAATCTGCTTTTGAAAACCATGTAGGTACATGCCAATAATAAGGTTAAAGTTACCAGAGTTAATGTTTTTTTTTATAACCAAACTGAATGAAGGGAAGAAAAAAACAGTTGATGTGAAACTCCAGCGAACACACCGGACAGATAAGCCTATTAATAAGTTCCTGGGGATGCAAACGAGGATGTCTGCTAGAGGTGGAAAAAGTAAAAAACAGACCTGAACATGGGAAAAACAGGACTGTTGAATGTGTGTTTAAACCCAGAGGTCATGGGCCTGTGAGCATTTCCCATGCTTCTACGAAACACGAGGAGGACATCGAGTTAGTGGAGCACTAACTCTGCCATTCACATCCAGCAACGATTCACTGATGACACACTGAACGTTCCTAGTTGGTATTTAAAGTATTTCGTGGGGAAAATAAATGCAAGTTTGTTTCATTTTTGTCAGATGTCTTCTTGTACCATTTCTCATATGCTCTTCCCTTTCACAGGGCTGGTACCGGAGGAGAGACGACCAACTCTCACACACAAACTAATAAATGTCTAAATCAAAACAAATATTTCAAACTTAAGAATAACTAGGCAGTGCGAATGCGTTTCTTCCTCCAAGAAGAAGGAGCATTTCTATCCGATGAATCAGACAGAAAACCTGGAGGAACTGCAGAGCTTCATACCTCAGGAGAACCTTTTGGCAGATTGCTTATTCAAGGGCTGCACAATATATCAGAAGCTGGCTATAATACTGTACAAGGTATACAGATCCCAGGATAGGTAATTATTTAGGTGCCATGCATTCAATCCCTCTATCTTGATAATATACTTAGTGGTAGCATTAAAAGTTTTATTAGGGATATAAAACAGTGGACACCATACAGAAGTAACTTGTTTTAATAAAACCTTGTTGTTGAGATGGAAATATCAGATTCTGCGACCATAAAGCAGAGAGACATTTACACATTTGCAATTTTACCAATACTGTTCAGCCTTGGTAGAATCCACAAATTTGCTCTCTGTAGAAGAGCAACAAAAAGAAAACAATGAGAAGTACAATGTGCAGCTTCCCAAAACATTTTCGGGGACACAGTGGAAGATTGAGTGCTGCTCAGATAAAACCAAAACTGAACGTTTTAGTGAATATTCAAAGAACTATATGCTGCAGAAAATGAGTAGTGCACATCAAGCTGACAACACCACTCGCACAGTTAATGGTTATGGCACGATTATGCTACAGGGATTCTTTCCTTCTTTTTGGGACAGGAAAGCTACTCAGATTTAATGGAGTATGGATGGAGCTATCTCCATCCATACTCCATTGGAGTATGGATGGAGAATAGGTTTCTCTATTGACGAATGGGGTCACAGGTTTCATCTTTGCAATGTACAAAACTGGCAGAGACATATCCTAAATGACTTGCAGCTTCAAACACATCAAAAGATGATTATTTTCCAGTATTGTGTTTGTAAAAAACATTTAGAAAGCAAGCATTTTTCATCCACTTGCAAATTATGCACCAATCTGTATTGGTCTAAAACTACTCATAACATAACATGATCATATATAAAAAATAAAAAAAAATCAAAGGAGAAGAAATTCTTTGGCAAGGCACAGTAAAGTAGAATAATTTGACTTCTCTCTCTCCAGCTATCAAGCCCAGGTTTACAGATGTTGAACACTTTGTAACATCTGCTAGAACACTGTATTTTGTTACAAATCACAAAAACATTCTCTTAAACTATGTATGAGTGCCAAAAGAGGCATAAATGACTTTACCTGCTCACAGTGTGGAAAATGATTGAGCTTCACCAAAAACATTGCGAGAGTCATGACGCTAGCTCACAGCACACTAATCTATTCTCCAGAATCAAAGCTGCTCACTCATCATTGCCACAAATAAAATGGATAAATTATAAACCTCAAGACAACATCTATTATCTCACTAATAAAACAGACCATGCATCAGCAGACCTGGCTGAATCATAAGTGGAGATGTGGTGAGCCACATTAATGACACTTTGGTTCCATTCTTTGAGCTCTGGCTTATTTCTGCAGCCTAATCACTACAAGCTCTAATGGGAAGGAGGCATGCTTCTATTAGCACCCTCTGGATCTGCTTGGGAGAAAACGGTCGGGTACCATGAGGCTGCCGGCCTAATCAGAAACAGAGATCCGTTTTCTGCACTCCTCTGCCGAGCCAGAATGGACACAAAGTTGTCCTGTGTTTTAGAAGCTTTGAAACAAAGAAGAATGCCAGCAGCAGGAAACGGAGAGGTCCAATGACGCCTCTGCATGGCTCCAGACATGGCACAAAAAAAAAAGAAAAAAAAAAAACTGTAAATGAGTCTGAGCCTGCAAAAGAGCACGACCTGCAGCCACCTTGATCTAACTATTACATTCAGCTTAGACAAAGAGCAAGACTTTTGTATAGACACTCACTCTATTTAGTTTATACTACTCTATATAGTCTATAAAGTTTGGGTTGGGTTAAATATTGATAAAAGCATCTCTGGATAGACAAATACTATTATACTGAACATTTTTATTTATAGATAAAAGCAAATGATGACTTATGACAAACCTCCCCCTGAATGTCCCATTTACTAACATTTCATTTCACGATTTAGATTTTAGATTCATTTTAGATAGACCAATCAAAGAGTTTTGAAAGCTTAAAATTGCTTTCTCTTTTAAAACTAAACACTATTCAAAATATTTATTTCAAATCTTCTTACGGTAAAGCAATCCTGGTCATTTTGCCTCTTCACCATTTTGAACGTTTGATTTTTTTTTTTTTTTTAAAGGTCCCTTCAGTGATCATAATAATAAAC